AAAAAAAAAAAAAAAAACTCAATACTCATATATTTACATGAATGCACCATTACATTACGTAGTAGTTACAATTATATTTTACATACATACCCGCATCATCATTAAGTCCAGCCATTTCTTGCTGATGGTGATTTCACCGTGTCTGCGAAAGAGAAAAAAAAAGTGATTCAATAACATGTAGCATTTGTTTTAAAATATTACAAATTACACTTTACAATTCTATTTTTTTTTATTAATCTAATAACAACATTAATATGATGCATTTATTTAAAAAAAAAAAAATACATTCAACACCATCTACACTTCGAGCGGTCTCCGTATCCCGCATATTAATCTCCGGATCAACCTCTTCATCAACATTTGTCCCGTCATAGGTAGCACGGGAAGATGGACCATCTTTTGCTTGAAAAACTAATTTTTCTATTCGGTAAAAAAAATTGTTCATCTTCGTCTCCATATTCATCTCCACTCGGTCCATCTTCATCTCCATCTTCATCTCCATTCGCTCAGAAAATATTCTCATCTCGTCCTTTACAACTTACGTCAAAACTTCCCTGACTATACTTCGAATATTTTCAGCATCAAAAACTTGCGGTTGTGGTGGATATGATTGAGATGCATCATTTTTTTCTTCTTCCTTTTCCTCCTCTTCCTCATCCTCATCCTCATCCTCATTTTTTTTCTTCTTCTTCTTCTTCTTTTTTCTTCTTTTTCTTCTTCTTCTTCTTCTTTCTCATCTTTAGGGATAATTGCTTCTTCCTCGGTTATACCGAATTCCTTCAAGTATGAAGTTTCAACTTCATCACTTGAGGGTTGTAACGTTCGTCGAACTTCAACCTGATTGTAGTATAATTAGTTTTTTGAAAACTATAAGAATAAATAAGACGACTTATCTATAACCAAAATTACATCCGACGCGTCGAAAAACATACTAATTTGCTCGCTTCGCCACTGTTTACCCATTTTCCAAGACATCATTCTCGGAAGTCTGCCACCACCATAAGTTTGACCAAATTTTCTTCCAAGCTCAGGCAGTGCCTCAAATGCCCAAACCTACTTAGCAAACAACAAAACAAAATTAAGAATACAACTAACATAAATAAATAAAAAATAGCATATATATAAATAAGAACAAATTAAGAAAAATTCCATGATAGCGAGGGGAAATCCATGCAGAGAATACTTTATCGCATTTGTTTTTTTTAATACGCAAAGTCTTCCGTTTGAACAACTTTACGGTGTACACGTATGACAAGTTCCCCCAAGGATAGTTATTAAATTGTTCCAAATCTTCAACGAGATGAAACCATCTTTCATCCACAAGAGTCCGGCACTCGTTAGACAACACCGCATACTCGAGGACAATGAGAAGCCCCAATTTGTACTTCAAATCTGCATCTTCCTTCTCTACCAAACCATCAAATTTCTCGAGCAAGTCTTTCTTCATTATCTTCCCTTTCTTCTCTTTGAATAAATCTAAAAATAAACTACTTCGTTTGGCGACATCGTAAGACACATCATCCACAATCTTTAAACCGCTTACAAGAGAGAATTTTTGTAACCCGAATCTGGCTTCCTTTTCTCCAAATTTGAACCACACGGCATCTTTTTCATAGTCGGGTGATTTCAAGGTCCTTGCTACAAGGTGGTGGATCAATTGAGACGACAATTTCAACTCCGGAATGTGCACTAGTGGCCGGAAGCAAGATTCCACAAATAAATCTTGATGTTCATCATCTAGATTCTTAAATACATGCTCGACAACCTTGAGGTCACACCTATTGGTCACGACTCCGGAGCATGTAGGAGGTATATTGAAAGCATACTCCCTTTCGGTTCCTAAAAGCATAGAAGAGAGACAACATGTCATAAAACGGTAGAAAATTCAATCACAATATTAAGAAGTATAACATCAATCATAAATTACAACAATCACATGCATATTATTAAGAAATTAGAAAGTACAACACACATTATATTTTGAAATTAACAAGCACAACATTCGTATAAGTAGTTAGTTTTAATTTAATACATAAGAATGTACATTCGTTATTTCATTCACCATAACAAATGAATCTTCATTATAGTTATATTTTAATCTCGGTCAATTAAATAAACCTATACATTCACAATATAATACATTATGACGATACTTTACTCGTTAAAGTTATAAGTTAACTCATTTCTAAAGGATACTAAAAAAATGATTCTTTATTCTATATCGACCTTCTTTTATTCTTTGAACTTAAAGCATGAACTTAGAAGAATAACAAATCGATTCTTAAAGCATGAACTTGGAAGAATAACCTACGACACAATGCTAAAGTCCTTAAATACTTACATTAATTCAAGAGATACACCAATTTTTTTTTTATTTTTTATTTTTATTTTTATTTTTTTGTTTTTTAGTGGGTCATTTAGCCAATTTAGTGTTTGAGGAGGGTTATTTCAACCAATTTCCACGTCACACAACATACATCAATTTTGTGTCTTATTATTGAAGGATAAGCAAAACACAGAAGAGCTCGGAGGCGGCCAAGGTTTGATACGAGCCGTCTCAGCCGTCGGAGGTGCACACATCACATCCACCGTCGACGTAGAGCAGACCACCCCGCCATTGTAGGCTACCTCAATCTTCTATCTTCTCCATAAAAAGGCCATGAATATTCTGAAACACAACTTCCCCACCCACTGTTACCCTCTGCATCGCCTCCATCAACCCTCTCTCCACCCTCACTTTCTCAGTTTTGCCTCTCTCGGCAGAAGTTTCCGACTCCCCTCATCCAATTCCGCTAGCCCTCACTCTCTCACCAAGCCTGCAGAGACTTCGAAGGTTTTAGCAATCCCAATTTCGATTGGGAAGGATGAAGAGACGGAGACCGAAGATTTTGAGGAATACTTGGCAGAAGATGGAGAGGTTTATCAGAAGACCTTGAGATTGGTCGAGTGTGCAATGTTTGCTGCTGTCTCTGCTTTGGCATTTCTCTTGAGCAACTCTCTGGCCATTGAGGTTATTGCTTTCTGTTCGGTCCATTATCCTTATGGAGTAATTGTTGGACTCAGTTGTTTGGCTTTCTCTGTTTGGGGGTTATTAGGGTTCCATCAAAAAACCCAAGATTGAACTTTCAAATGACCCAGGACTGGTTTAGAAGAGATATAGAACTTCATTTTTTGTTTGAATTAACTGTTTCAGTTGGAATGTTTGGGCATATGGATTCTGATACTCCAAACCATATCTTGTTGTTGCTCGAGTTGGTGGTTAGTAGAAAAATGGCCAATAAACGAACACAGCATACTGCCGTTTTATTTTATTTTTTTTTTTGGTGGGGGGGGTGGTTGTGGATGGAGGGCGGGGATCTTTTAGTTTTACGTGATATCAATAGGTCATCGTGGGAATTGGCTTAATGATTGATCTTCTTTAGTATTGTTGAGGATATTTATCACCTCAGAAATATCTGCTATACGTTTGTGTAGTGATCCTTATGCTCATGTGCAATTGAATTATGTAGAAATACTTTGCATGTTTCTTTGCTTTGCCGATAGTCCTTTCAACTATGAGATGGGGTGTTGGAGCTGGCAGGAAAAACATGGTATGTTGTGTGCAAGCCTTTTATGTTACATCATACATTTCTTTCAGGATTCTTATGCAGATAATGCAGTTTCCATCTTGTGGCTTATTCTTGTTCAGGTGGCAACTACTGTATTATTGTTCATCTTATCTGGTCCGGTGAAAGCAGTTACTTATTTGGTGAGTTATTATGATCATCCTGCGTGTTGATAGAATAAATTGGACAAAATGATTTTGATATTCCAATTTCCTTTCTTATGTTTATTATACTAATAAAATTGTAGATTCTTCTACCTAGATTTTGAGCTTTATTCGTTGCTTTTCATGGCATCATATTATTATTTGGATTTGACTTGGTTACAGAGAGTAACGGTCTTTCACAACAAAAAGTCTGCCCTTGAGAACACTGAATCAAACAACCGGGGTGTCCTTTATAAATTTCTAAAATTAGTTGTTTCTTTGTGATTACGTGAAACCTAAAGAGTAATTTATTTAGAGTTCCTTTGTTTTATTGAAGCATAAAAGAAAACATTGATCTGAATTTACATTCTCTGGCCAGTTATTTCATGGCTTGCTTGGTCTAGCGATGGGTACCTTTTGGAGGTATATATTACTTTTGACATCTTGTGTGCACATAATATATATATACATACACGCACACACTAGTACAAGATTTGGCATACTGTGTTGATAAATAGAAATGCGATGTCTATTATTGTCAGGTTAAAGACAAGTTGGGGTGCATCGCTCTTCCTGTGCACAATTGTATTATTTCTATTCTTTTCTCATCACCAGATAACATTCATTTTCTAATTTTGGATGTAAAGAATGGTTGCCCTTATTGCAGGTTCGATCCATTGGATCTCTGGGATATGTTGTGATTGCCTCATATCTAATTGGAGAAAATATATTGGCATTGGTAAATTATGGCCTGGTTACAGTTTCTACTTCCGGCAAGTAATCCTCTTGATCTCAGCATATTTTTTTCACAATCTACATTTGCTTGGTTTGCAGATCACTATAAATCTTCATGCTCTTGTCACGTATATCCTCTCCCGCTTTGGCTGCATCTCAGTCCAATCAATGAATTTTGTATACTTCATTTTCGGGGTTCTTGTAAGTGAATGTCAATTCCTTACTTTTGCACATTACCATAATTTAATAAAGCATTCAGTTATCAATTCTTATATATATATTGTTTTTTATTGATAATTTGAAATAGACTAAATTTCTGATATTTTTCGCGACTGACCCTATGGCAGCTTTTTGATTATCTTTCTCATACTTTGTTTCTTCACAGCTCTTGCTCAATTCCGGTGTCTTTGTGTTCGTGCTTCATCTTTTGTATGCTCTATTTTTTACGAGGCTTGGGATGAAGGCTTCACTCAGACTACCAAAATGGCTACAGGCTGCAATATAAACCGATTCAGATGACCAATGGATAAAATTTTAATGTTTGTGTCCGAAATTCTTTCAGTTAACCCTTTGACATCAGCACTCTCACTGAACATCCCTTTTTTGAGCAGTGAGGCTAAGGCTAAGGATGCTGCAAAGTGACTTAGCTTTTCTGGTAGATAAGCAAATGCTCTACGGGATAAAGATGTTCTGTCCTTAAGAGGTGAGAAGAGAATTTATATTTCAGAGCAGTGATTTGATGCATAAGATGGATATGAAATCCACCCAAAATAGTTTTAATATTAGAAGGTCTAGCTGCCTTGGCTCGAATAACCGACTATGTTAGCAGGTGTGGGGAAGTTGTTTTAACTGAGTTGGACAACTAAAGTGGAGCTTGGGGATTAGATCTATAGGAAAATGAAGGGTTGTGTTGAGCTGGACCACATTACATGTATGAAAATTGGTGATTATGGCAATATCTCAAATGAACGCTATTAATCCAAATCTTGAATTCCGAAAAAATTCATTGAATTTGAAGCTTTGAGAGTATATTATTCGTTTTTTTTTTTTTTTTTT